CAGAATGACAGGCCTCACAGAACTCATCCTGTTCAGCTTTGTTCCGGGACAAAATCATGTGTGTCCATTAGGTTTAGAGATGACTCTGTGGTCCTTAGTTGCTGAACAACCATCTGCTTTTAGGAAGAATTTCCAAGAACATCTTGACTTTAACATGTAGCCACAATACAACTAGAACCAGGAACAAATATTTTTTACATAAAAAAACACACAATAATAATTAGGCTAATGGAACTAAAATGGAAACAAAACCACTTACCACAAGGCAAAGGGTTTTAATATTCAAACGTGGAATTAAAAGGCTGAATCCACAGTTAAGCACAAGAGAAAGGACAAAGACAGAGTGCTGCCTCCCGTCGACGTCTAACTGCACTGGCACGTCGATGACCAACATGCAGCAACGTCTAACTGCACTGGCATGTCGACCAACATGCAGCAACGTCTAACTGCACTGNTCTAACTGCACTGGCATGTCGACCAACATGCAGCAACGTCTAACTGCACTGGCACGTCGATGACCAACATGCAGCAACGTCTAACTGCACTGGCACGTCGATGACCAACATGCAGCAACGTCTAACTGCACTGGCACATAGAAGACCAACATGCAGCAACATCTAACTGCACTGGCACGTCGATGACCAACATGCTGCCTCCCGTCGACGTCTAACTGCACTGGCACATCGAAGACCAACATGCAGCAACGTCTAACTGCACTGGCACGTCAATGACCAACATGCTGCCTCCCGTCGATGTCTAACTGCACTGGCACATCGATGACCAACATGCAGCAACATCTAACTGCATTGGCACGTCGATGACCAACATGCTGCCTCCCATCGACATCTAACTGCACTGGCACATCGAAGACCAACATGCAGCAACGTCTAACTGCACTGGCACGTCGATGATCAACATGCAGCAACGTCTAACTGCACCGGCACATCGAAGACCAACATGCAGCAATGTGTAACTGCACCGGCACGTCGATGACCAACATGCAGCAACGTCTAACTGCACCGGCACGTCGATGACCAACATGCAGCAACGTCTAACTGCACCGGCACGTCGATAACCAACATGCAGCAACGTCTAACTGCACCGGCACGTCGAAGACCAACATGCAGCAACGTCTAACTGCACTGGCACGTCGATGACCAACATGCAGCAACGTCTAACTGCACTGGCACGTCGAAGACCAACATGCAGCATTATTTTAACATGAAAGCTGCTCAGAGGAAGCATGGAAATCAGAAGCCGGCAAACACACAGACACATCAGGGGTTCATCACCTTTGGAGACTTTTCCACGCACATCCCACCAAAGAAGGACTGAAACACAAATGGAAATAATCAAGTAACAGATCAGCTGACATACTGGCAGGCCAGAGAACAAGTCGGACCAGCTAGCCAAGCCCACACGGTCCCTGCAAGATCGCTGTGAGAGCACATGCTTAAAGCATCGGGACGCAAGTGATGGAGACCCAGTGAAGGAGTGTAACCTCATTGCGGGGGATCGGAATGGCATGCGAGTACACAGCAGCTTCCAGGGTCCTGCACGGCCCCCGTATTACCGCTCTCGCTACCTGATTCTGGGGCTTCAGGCCTCAAGCTGGAATACAAGCAGCAGGAGAGCATAAGAGAAGGAGCAGCCACGTTACACACTGGGCAAGCAGCTCAGCTTTAACCAGAGGGTGATCTAAAAATGGCCGTCCTGAAGCAAGACAGCAGAGGCACGGAGGAGGACACCCCACCAGAGCAGCTCTCACTCCATCGCTCTCTTCATCATTCCGTTTTTTTCTCCTGGTTTTGGCTGAGCTCATTACTCAACTTTTCTCTTTACTGATTAATTACAAATGTCTCCAACCACATGTTATCCATCTGCGTAATTTTTTAGCTATTGTTGCTTTGGTATAAAACCATTTAAATTGAATATTTCACAATGCAAATGTGGCTCCTTGCCTGAACTGGCATTGACCGAATAGGCTAATTTTAAGTGATAATTAAATCCAACTTAGTACAAATAATTATGTCATGTTCTATATTTTTTCTCAATGCTATCTTGCAGATTTACTCATTAGTACAGAGGAATGTCACAGCGACCTGATTTGATAAAGATACTTAGTGGTGTAACTGGATGACTACATGATTTCACGAGAGTATTATCCATCATGAAACATTCATGTTCACATAGGGCACTTAAGCTCAAGCTCTCTGGCCTCAACGTGTGTCAGCTCTGGGCTCCAACCTACAGCTCAGAGCCATGTCATTTCCTGAAGGAGAGTCAGGGAATTTACCAGTCAAGGATCCATTCGATCACTGCCACCTCTCTCACCATTTCTCAGGGTCTGGTTGGAATGACAACCATACTGCAGACCCCCACGGATGGCCAGATGGTCAGTAGGCCTGATACCAACTTAAGGGCTGCCTCCTCGACATCACTTCCCGGCGGCATCTGTCTGTGTTCCCTAAAAAACTCATAAGAGAGAGACCTTCTGCCTTCGGCTGTGTTAATGCTATTAGTCAGTACCCGCAATCTACACAGAATTCCCCATAACACCTGTTTGGGCATCTGGAAGGGGAGAAATCACAGAAAGAGCTGGTATTCTCTTTCAACACAGACTCACAAGCCTCTGGTTTGAGTACAAAATGTTTTAGTTTTCTTAAAGGTGAAGTACCTCTTCCTGGAATTTCCATAGTCCCCTTAATATGAATGAAGGGCTAATCTACTAGTATCACACTCTATGCCTTGTCTTTCCTCCATCACGTGATCCTACTACCTGGGGGACTGTCTACCAAAAGATCAATACCTCTCTTCAACTTTCTCATACTGTCAAAGGGGCATCTGGAAAGTGTGAAGACGGAGTTCCACGTCTTTCGTGACTGAATCAGTCACCATACAGCAGCAAAATAAATATGTCGGTCTGTTAAGGGAGGCACGGACTACGGCAGTTTCTGCCTCCATCAAACAGGCATGAAGTGAAGAAATTCCCGGTGAAACAAAAAGTTCCCTCCACAGAATTCCCAAACCACATTGCAAACATGTTATCCGGCATAAGTCGCCCACTGGCTTCCATTTTCAGTTGGCTGACTAAGTTTTAATCGAGACCCAATTTCTCTAACACATCTTGCTTCCCATCGCACAAAAACGGCCCACAGTTACATAATTGTCTTTTATTTCCAGGCTGTACCTGTAAAATCACCACGCAGATGACGTGAATTGTAATCCAGCCAATAATAACGTCAAGTCCAGGAGCTTGTTACGCTTTGTAAAACAATTCATTCGCAAACTTTACCTAAGTGAAGCATATTTAGGTGACCACCTTAGCGGCAACTTGCTTTAAGCAACTATCTCAGTACAGCTGTGGCTCTACTTCCTTCCACCATTTTTCAGTCTGCATACTTACAAATTTGCAAGAAGTTTTTTCCTTTTTTAAACTCACCTACAAAATACATCCAGACCTCTCACACGATCGTTAATATCGGTATCCCATACGCTTCCTCGCGCAGCGGATCTGTTTGATTTACCTCTCTATCGTGCGTTTCTCCTTCCTCGAACAGTCCTCTTGCTTCTCCCCCTTTTCTCTCCGTCCGAGCAGAATTCCCACCTCCTACTCAGCCATGTTCCAGCACCAGCGGACGAGCGCAGCGGCGGTGCGTGTGGACGGGAACGGCACGGAAAGGCCCGAACAGAGACGAGAAAACACGAGTGGGTGCGGGTTGGTGCGAAAGCTGGCGACGTGTCCGGCGTCTTAACCTCGTTTCTCGCGTAGTTAGACTTTCACCGAAAACAGTAGAAATACAGAATATATTGGGTATGATATTCATCTGACCTGTTACTACACTTGTGCCTGATTTAAATATTTATTGTAGAAGTGCTGCTTTCTAGTGAGCATCAAGTTATATAACCTTTATCGAAAGAATACCTGTTTTGCAGTACTCTCAATTTATCAAATTTATTTAAATAGCACCTTTTAGAAACTGTAGACTTTTAATTGCAACTGCAATTCATTGCAATTTATAACAGCCCTAGATGAAGGATCATGCGAAAGATTATCATAACATAAAGCAAAACTCTTAAAGCGATTATAAATATTTTGAGGGTCGTATTTTGATCCAACCTTCTGAAATCGTACAGTCGGTCGTTCTTCTAACCACTCATCGACATAATTCTGCGGAGTACACTACGGGCGATTCAGAAACTGCATAACTACGGATTATACGAGAAAAGTTTGCATTTGTGATGTGTACGTTAAAGCGCACACAAATCTGCACAGGGATTAATAACCCTGGAGGTACGCGATCTTTTCCATTGTCCAGTTCATTAAACAGAGTAGTGCTCTGAAGCAGCTACTGTGTGATTGTGTGTCCAGACTTTAACTTGGCTTTTCTGGGACCTCTTGGTCGAGTGCTTGGACAAATGGGAGAAAATGGATGATTTTGTGTTTGTAAAACTATGTTGATGTTCAATTATTTAACAGAAGAATGGTTTAGGAACTTCGGCGTTCTGATCAATACCTGCATTTTCCCTTCCCCTTCTGTACACTAGCATCCATACGATACCACATCGACACCTAGTGGCACAATGTAGTAGTGCACATCACTACCTTCTACATCAAATAGGAATTTTAATTCAGGGGTGACAAATTAGCTTAGTTTCAGTTCCATGCTTCAAAAAGACCACCATTCTGGCAGAGAAACCCGCCAGACCAGCAGTCAAACATACGCCAATGAAACATTTCCCTACACCGCACATATCCAAGGTCATATCAAATCATAGCAAACTTAATACCTGTTCATGAAAGAAAAAAAAATAAAATAAAATAATTATATATATATGTCTAACTCCAGGTTCAGTTTCTCAGAATGCTGCAGATTTTCTGGTTTCTGAACTTTCACATTAGGCACAGGAAAGGAGGACAGTACGACATCTGTATCAAACATCTGCAAATAATTTATTTAAAAAAAAAAAAAAAACTGTTAGAACAGCAAAAAAAAAAAAAAAAAAAAAACTGTTAGAACAGCAAAGTGATAATAAATAAAATTATGTACACCGACCAGCGCAAGAGCAAACTGGGACAGTAGAGAAACCAGCCAGAGTAAAGATAACCAAAGATCAGAATCCAAGCCCCCGTGCCCGGCCTACTGCTCACCGTCGGCATTGGTACTGGAGGAAGTCCAGACACCCTCACCATCCTCCTCACAATTGTGATCCAAAACATCAGGTTATTTTCACGAACCACCATCAAACCGAAATGGTTCATGGACCAGGTTTTAAGTGATACCTTGGTAACTTTGGTTTGAGGCGCTTTGTAGTACCCGCAAGCGCTGGGATCACTGCGCCACACGGAACAAACTTCTGTTCAGCCAAAAAGCCATCGGCAGGAAAAACTGGACATACGTAACCCAGTCAAAGACATCTAATGAGGTATTTATGACACTTCAGTATCAGAGGGCTCGGGGGGGTAGGAAAGGTAGTCTGAACTGTACAGTTTGTGGTTTAAAAATGTTAAAATAAGTTATACATCAGTCTCATATGACAAACTATATCAGCACAGATCCTCTTAGACACGCACCGGAGAGAATGAGACATCCCTGGAGTCATGCGAACATGCATCATGCATAATGGAAATTCCTGGAAGAGAACGCCAGCTGGGGACTTTACAGGTTCAGCGCCGATTCCCAATGATGCATCAAACATGAGCCACAATGTACAGTACAGTTTGCAAAAAATGTACACACTTCATAATACTGTCAGCATCCCCCAAACATTGAATTAAATCCGGCCTCTTCTCCATATTCAACATGTAGTACTTTCAGAAAAAACAAATCCTTTACAAATGCATTCCTGATATCTATCCAAAGACATAGCAGGTATTTTAGGTTAGTACAAAAAATTTAAATACTCAAATTGTACTAAAAATTACACATAACAGTCAAATGAACTAAGTACCATTTTAAAGGAAGTTCTATTATAGAAACAGACCTCAGTGTGAATGGGCAGAGGTCCCAAGCAAACACGCAGGTTAAGTGTTACAGACAGCCCTGCCTGGAAGCAGCTGCTCCTTCCTGCTGAGTAAACTGACCTATTGAGCAGCTTGAAGTTACAGCTGATGAAAGGCATTAAAAGTAGCAGTCGGTCACCACTGAGCCTCCATATGGAAAGACAGCCATGTACTGGCAGTAGAAAAACAAAACATGAGGCTAAAGAAATTAATTTGCTTTTCACCAAACGCTTGTGAATACATGCTGTGGAGAAGCTGCTGGAGCTGAGCAGTGTGATCAGGTCACTGCACAGTACATGGACGCGGGAATGCCATCCACTCGCACCCTGTGAGATGGAGAGTGACGTGCATCCAGGTCACTGGAGCCAACAGCAGTCGGAGACCAGACACCAATGTCTGACACCTGCATAGACACAAGCTACAACAACAAGGTCATGCCAGCAAGCTGGAAACAGTCTTACAAAAGCCAAAACGTGTCAGAAGTGTGAAAATAACATGATCCAACAAACCGCTTAACCACCCTGCCAATGGTCAGTAACGAGGTGACGCTGGCAGGATACAGTGTGGTGACAATTTTTAGTGCCTTTGACATGCAGATGACAGTGTCAATCTGTGCAAGAACTGTTGTGATCTGAGGGAATATTTTTATCTAGGCGTCCATCAAGTAAGTCTTGAAGCAAAAAAGCACAACAATGTTCATGTTCAGGTAACTAGCTTGACTGTTGCAAGACCCTATATATATATATATATAAATATGCATACGAAAAAAGGGAACATCAACCTTACTATGGACAATGTGTGTGTGCCGTTTGTAGAGGGAACAGACACTTAAGAAAACCATCACCCTACGTGCACGTCAAAGACCCAGAACTCTGACTGCACACCTTCATAATAGTATTAACATTTAACCTCCAAGTCACCAAATCCATAATAAACTTCCAGCCACCAGTGAGATATGCACCAAGTCCTAAACCAGTCAAGAACATTTAGAAAATACTTTTTTTTCTCTCTTTTTTAAAAAAAGGAAGGGGGATGTTACATTTCCTTCAGGGGATATAAAACTTCATTAAAACCATGAATAGCGTTAGGCTGTTCATTTTTTGGCCCAATAACAGATCCTGCTTGCTAATAAAACCGTTAAGTTAGTCCTGGAGAAAAGCCCAGCTTTATCCATCTCCACATCCTTTACCCACCAAATATTTACAAACATGTTCAGGCTGCACACCAATCCCAAATGGACAGTGATTAAAAGCGGAATCACAAACAGGGATTTTTTTCTCCTTCCTGGCGAGCCTCCATTCCCGTCACTCCTTGCCAATCCCGGGGCCACCTGTCGGCGCATGCTGGTCCGGGGCAGCCCAGGAAGCCACGCCCCTGTATGACGGTGTGGGTGAGCCGTCCAAGGTGCCGCCGGGCCTCTCTTCAGGGGGCTGCTCTGCCCCCCAGGAAGCCCGCCCCCCCCAGTCATCCTTCATGTCTTTGTTGTCGCCCTCAGAGCCCTGCACTGCTATCTGTGGCACAGTAGTTGGCCTCCGTGACGGCTCGCTGTCCTCGGTACCACCCTGGACCCACGGGGCCCTGAAAGGTGAGCCCGGCGCCGCCTTCTCCTCAGCTCCGCCCAGCAGCCAGGCCGCCCTAAATGGCGAGCTGGGGCTGCCCTTCTCCTCGGGCTCGTCGAAGCTCACCTCCTGCACGGCCTCCTGCTTCTTGAAGGAGTCGCGCCGCTCGGACAGGTTCAGCTTGCGCATCACCACTACCTCCTCACTCCTGTCGGGCCCGCGCTCTCTCAGCTTCTGACCCCCCAAGCGTCCCCCCGGCCTGCCTATGTCACAGGTACCCTCAGCCTCCCCCAGGAGCTCTGCCTCTGAGCGGGGTACCTCCAGCGTGTGCCTGCGGGGGACGCCTGGCTTCCTCTCTCCGTGGAAGGCGCCCGACAGCCTGTCAGCAGACTGCACCCGCTTCAGCAGGGGGGAGCGAGGGGGCTCGGCGCTGCGGGGCCGCACTGCGTGCCTGACGATGGTAGGGGGGGAGAGTGCCTTCCCGTGGATGGGGTGCAGCATCTTGGTGAAGCTGGGCAGGGGAGATGGTGAGCGCTGGGGGGAGACAGGCTGGGGGGATGGGTTGCAGGCCAGTGGTGACGGCGGGATGCTGCTGGTGGACTTGCGGCGGGCTGCCTTTACGTAGCGCTGAGGGGCCAGCTTGGAGCCCAGGCCGTGCAGAGAGCTGGGCCGGATGTGAGCGGCCGGGGAGCTGGGTGAGCTGGAGCCGGGGGAGGTGCTCTGGGGCGAGCCAGCATCTGGGGGAGGGTGGCAGGCAGGGGGTCAATCAGTGAGGCCCTCACACGCCCCAGGGCCCACAGGGACACAAACGCTCAGTGAGGCCCTCACACGGCACAGGGCCCACAGGGACACAAACGCTCAGTGAGGCCCTCACAC